ATCATAGAGTCACGTGAGTGCAAGCAGGGCTCCATATTGTGCTTTTACAGCTTCATATTTCACCGTGCATGCAGATATCGTGTACATAGCTGCATGTTTGTTAGCATCCTCCACACCAGCTAGCAGCCCATCATGCATGGCTGCTTAGCAACATCCGCACGCGCTGCAGCATCAGCATCCGCTTAATGGCCACCAGCTAAAACAATTAATGCAGCAGCGACGACTCAAACCGTTCTCTCTAAAAAACCGAGCAAATATACATATTTATATATATATATATAAGTATAATTCCAATAGAAGCAAGAGCAATGCACTAAATCATGGCCTGCATATCCACCCAGAACTATTGTACGAAAATGAACAAAAAACGACATCGCTAGCAGGGTAATAAGCAAGAGTAGAGGCTGCATGGCTACATCATATAATACAGAGACCTTGCGTTAGTCACGGGCCTTCGTGTGCAGAGCGCAATGAAGAGAAGAAAGCAGCAACAACAATGCGGAGAGCTGCAGAATACGCGATCTTAATCACAAGCACATTATAAGGAATAAAAGACAGCAGATGCACCGTATGTCTGACAACAGCACCGGGCAGTATGGTGTCTGATGGTCGGCGTAAACACGGCTCATGCACGCTGCAGGGAGGACCTACGCCCAGCCATTTAACCATGCTGTTACACTAACACTGATGTTACCAGGTTTACTCACCTCAGTGCATCCTCGGGAGCGCGTGTTCTCTAAGCGCGCGGCTCACCCACGGCCCCGAAGCCGTATACCTCAGGAAGAAGCGATGTGTGGTTAATTACAATTATAACGCCCAAACCGAGGTTCCTTTGTGGGGTTATTTCAGGGCCTCAGCTGGTACCAAGTCGGAAGATGTTTTCATCGCTCGGTGCGCCTGGACCAGCCCACTGCCACGCCTGTCCACAGTCACACACACACACACACACGCGCGCGCGCGCGCGCGCACACACACAGGGCTCCCACTCTTGCATGCACCCACAGTGAGATTCAAGCTTTGCAATGCACTTGGAGTTATTGTGTTGGGGAAAAAACCACGCAAAGCCCAAGTGGATGTCTAATGCTTTCTCTTAAAACGTTGTTTAGTTGGCGAGGCCCAGTGCAACCAGGATCAAGATATAAGAGCTACATACAGGCGCCCCCTGCTGTTCAGATGGAGAACAGCATGGACACCGTTAGAAACAAACATACATTAGGTTTTTGCTGTATGTATTTAAGTAGGCCTATTAGCAGACATAAACTTAGTACATTGCATTTAAAGATACTTCTTAAAATTATTATTTGTGCACTACTAAGTATATTGTGCTTTTAACTTCTCTTACTTATTTAGTAATCACTTAGGATTATAATGATACACAATACAATCAACAAATAATTTATCATAAACTAGTAGATGATAAATAAAAAAATGTGCTCCCTCAGTGAAATGTTAACCTACCCTGGAGTATTTACAGTACAAAAAGCTCCAGCTGTTAAGTTATGAACATTTCAATAAATATAAACAGTAATATAAATGTGTATAGAATAACTAAATTAAATTGTTACGCCAATAATTTTGTTCTTTTACTAGAGCAGAATTTTGAAATCATGACGTTCACTTGCAGAGTATTTCTACACTGTACAAGTATACTAGGTATGAGTACTCATTCCACAACAAGTAAAAGGTTGAAGTAATTGTACTTTAATTGAGTATTTCTATTTTCTGACACTACTATTTTACTTCCTAGACTATACAGATTTTACATGACAAACACTGGAATAGACTACAATAAATGATTGATCACCCTTTAACAGATACACCATTAAGCACCGTTTAAAAGTGGATCGATCAGTAAAAATAGCCCCATTAGTTAAATATGATTCAACATATTGATTACTTGTCGTTTTGATACTTTATGTAAATGTGTCTGAAAGTGCATGTGACCTTTTTTTTAACTGTGCAGACATTTGAACGCAGGGTTTTCAGCAATTAAGGCTTTACTTCTTTACATTATTCTTCCACCACTGCACATTTAAAAAAGAATACTAACCTGGAGATGTGTGCCAAATAAAAACACGTTACAATGAGTCGTTAATTACATCATTTATCAAGCATTTTGAAATTCAAGTTGTCTTTTTTAAGTAAGAGTAGTACATGTAGTTTTGCAAGGAAAACTCAAATGAAAACTTCTGAAATGAGAAACATTGGCAACCACAGCATTCAGTTATATGGACAAAAAAAATAATATAATACAGAAATGTAACAAAACGTCCGTCTTCTTGGTACAAATGTCCCCCTTTAAAGGACTTGATTACATCTCATGGAATAGAATAACTTAACAAAAAACAACCAACCCTTTTAGACAGTAATTTTAAAAACAGAAGCCGTCTTTACATTTTATTTTAGGGCTGCCAAGGATACAGTTTGTGAAATAAAAATAAAAACACATTCATATTTAATCAAACAATATATAAATTAAATACTACAAATAAAATAGTATTTTCTCCGTGAATAATCCTTTCTTCGTAAGTCCCCTAAAAAATAAAACAAGAATTATTGAAAAATGTAACAGTTAACACAATTATCAAATTCAGTGACCTGTTGATTGAAAAGGTCACCCCCTACAATGCATTGAAATAGATGTTTTTAACACACCCTGACCCTCCTTTAAGTGCACTTTTATAAAGAAAGCTGGGTGCTACCTGAAAAATTTAACCAGAAGAGGGCGCTGTAACACCTCACATCTTTGGGATAATGCATTTTTCATTGTGCCCATGTGTTGTTAAGGGTAATTCTGTTTACAAGAGTGTTACCTCATTACATGACCAGTCACACACTTGAGCAGAGGTCGAATGAGCCAGAATAACTGAACACATCTGTGTGTGCGAGTGTGGGAAGATCCCAGGATTTAATACGGAAAATAGAGGTTTGTTTAGGGAATACTTCACCTACAATAAGATCATTTGAACATTACGTACCCTGTGCTAACCTCAATGTGTTTTTATGTTGTGTTTGTATACAGTTTTTCCATGGTAAACATAGGATAACAACATGGAGAAAATTGGATTCAAGGTGAGCTGTTGGTATACAAATGATCCTTTAAGTAACCCACTGCTTCTTTTTTTCCACTGCAGAAATGTTGACTACTTTTTGCAGAAAAGGTGCATAACTATGACTACTCTTTTCACAGTGACAGTGAGCCTGCATGCACAATACCCTAAAACTGATGCAGCTAAATGCAATCATCATTCATTTCCTTCTGTGACATGTACACATATCTTCTGTGTCAATGTGTTTTTTACATGCTGAATGATTTGTTTTCTAAGATTTATATGAGCATATCCCTGGCAAACAGAATATGTAAATTGCTACTAATTTATGTTAATTATATAAACAAATTGACACAATTGTCCTATCTTTCTTTGTTGGAGAACACCCCTTATTTGTACCGTCAATTGGAAATTAAATACAAATAATGTTTGTGTCCACATAGGGGCAACATTTGTATAATATTACACCAACGATCATGTTTGTTTCTCTTACCATCCCAATTAATATGTTTTTATCATAACGTCTTATATAACCTGTCCGACGTTTGCATGCATTTCAAAATAATCCTTTAACCCTGGAGTGTTAAGACTTCTTCCTTCCAACATTTTGCAGCAATCTGCATTTTAAATGAAGACATACTTATATACAGATGTTTCATCAATGTATTAAACATATCCAACCTGGCAGGTTTCCAATATTTTTCCAAGCCATCTTCTCTAGGGTTGAGACATCTGTTGTAAAAGAAGAAAGGGATAACATGTTTAAAACCACACACACACACACACACACACACACACACACACACACACACACACACACACACACACATACTCTCAAACACAGACAGACACACACACACACACACACACACACACACACACACACACACACACACACACACACACACACACACACACACACACACACACACACACACACACACACACACACACACACACACACACACACGTGTGTTTTATCTTGATCTCACCCTCTTCATCTTGATTTAACCAATCAGATGAGGAGGTACTTGTGAGGACGGTCTGAATGCCTCGTTGTGACGGCTACACTGCAGACAATCAAATGCCTCGTGTTGATTGCCAGCGGTAATTGAAGTATGTTCCAGTCAGATCATTTAAGGGAATGATAAATGTGTCTGATTGTTTATTGTTGAAGGATTCTGTATGGATTCCTACACAGTTTGAATGTTGGCTGTATTGTGTTTAAAAAAAAAGTTACACCATTTGTCTACAGCCGATGGTGATTTCTGCATTCACTATTTAATTAAGTGATTGACCCGGGTTTGAATCCGCCTGTCATCCCCTGGTTCACACTTTCATAGCGGTCGCTTGATTAAATGCACTGGTGGCCCAACAAAAATCTTTAAAAAAGAAAACATACATTATTGTTTATACACCTGTTTGCGACCTTGATGTGGGCGTCGTTTAAGTGGAAGTTTATTTGTATTCATGTAGCCTTATGCTTAGTGTCATTACTCTACTCAGGAATGCATATTTTCATAATTTATGAATGTGTGTAGGTAGGCCCCTGTCCTCCTCAAAATGAACAAATCTTAATAAAATATATGCACATGTTTCTATTTCCATTTCATCACAACTGAATTATTTTATATATTTCCTTTTTTTTTCCTATGTAAATTTTTTAACAAGTAATTTTTCTTTCACTTGCGTAGTGTAAGAGTAGTGAGGTTCTGAAGGGCTTCATCTCCACTTATAGATATTTGATATTTGTTTTGCTATTTAAAAATAGCGCAGTATAATTCAACCTTGAGTGTTGTTATATACATATGCTGTACCATATTTATTCTGGGTAAGGAAAACATGTTAATTAGGAAACACTGCACTTCATTTTCAGCCGGAATGCATTTTTCGAGATAACTAGAACACGTATTTAGAAATCTGTCTGAGAAGGTCCGAAAAGTATCCTTTAGTTTTGACGGAAATGTAAGTTATGTAATGATGTTTTACTAAGAGTACATTAAATAAAAGTTTCAAAAATGTTTGTAGTTACCGTCAACTATAGTTTTTAGTAAAGCAAATCTAATTCTGCATTTCAGACTCTTTTGAAAATCAGAAGAAATACAAACATTGTTTGATTGGAGCATCGCTACTAACCAACAACAACAGTTTAAAATTAGGAAAGAAAAACGAGTTACCAGAGTCTGATCGGGTGCCACTTGTATGAGGAACTGGTATCCAGGCACCACACAGTGCTGCAGCATCAGTCTGGTCATATCTCCGTCCTCTGTCACTGCTTCTAGGGGCATGCTGAACCCATCCTCCATTTGCTCCTGTCAGGAAAGAAAAGAAAATATATTTTAAAAAATGACCGTAAACTATAAAATATCCATCTTCTTTAAAAGGGAATCCTAACAATTACAATGAAATAAGGCTTGGAAAAACTGTACGGCAAAACATTTGTTCATAAGTAAAACAATAAAAGCATGACAAATCTCCATATCAAAACACTAAATATACCTAAAACACAGTTTTTTATTTCACTGGAACAGCAGAATTTTTGTTGTTTTTACTTCAATTAAAAGGTAGGGTAGGTAAGAATGGAGAAACCAGCTCGAGTGCGCTAGAATTTGAAAGTAATGAGGGCACGAGATAAGTTTGTGCACAGATGGAAGGCTGACAGGGAGGTAGGCCATCCAGTTATTTGCCCCGGGCCGGCTAAAATGATTGGTCGTGCTTGCTTCCACAGATGACATTTTTTATGTATTTATTGTCAAAGCATTGATGTATTCATTGCTATCGGGATGTTAAGAGCATTCCATGGAATATAACAAGTGTTTCTGAAGTGAATTACCAACCCCACCTTTAAATGAGACATTAACAATTATTCTCAATCATGATTTTTGTCTCCCAAATTTAAATGAAAACGATCGACTGCAATATTGTAGCTTTCAGAATTGAAGGGAGGTATTTTGGATACAATATTTTTTTTTTATAGGAGATAACCATATTTTAAGTATAATTTAGATGCAAAGATTTGTACACTATCAAGAACACATGAAAGCAAAGTACAAGCAGTGCTCCGTTAAGACAACATTGAAAGTACAAAAATAATACTTTTCCTTCTGAAATCAAGAAATGAATAAACAGGATTATTTTTGGCTTGAATCTTGCAGCCCTACTGGCCCTTAGTTTGTGACTTTTGGATTCACTGAATCCGTACAATAACACAAACAAAATAACTGCTCAAGGCAAAGGTAGGCCAGCAACTCATGTTCTGCTAAGGTACAATTACTTCTATTTTCCAGTAGAGTCTGGTAGCATAGATAACAGCGTCAGTTCTCCGTCAAAAAATGGCTGTCTGACAGCATGGTAAAGCGATGGAAATACTGTTACAGTTTCTCGATTGCTAACACACTAAAATTATACATAAAGCACAATTATTTTAACTGACACTCAAAGAGCAAAACACCGGCTCAAATCTCCAAAACTCTAAACACGTTTTCAGCTTTTCACACAATTTGCAAATCAACATGGCACTTTTTGCAAACCACTGCACACGTTTCTCCACGTGAGACACAGGATTCTGACATACAGTCACGTGTTAGCTGGTTTAAAACACTGATATTCAAAATGCCTCAGACATGGACCAATAATCAAGAAACACGTTCCACCTGACCAAACACCTGATAGCATAATTGTTGGCTCATCAATCCGGATGTTAGCACTATAAAAAGACCACAGGTGAGTACTTTCTTACAGCAACAATGGAAGCCAACATGGAAGCAAGAGCAGAGCAAGAGCAAGAGGAAGAGCTGGGCTGAGAGTGAGAGGAGGAGGAGGAGGAAGAGGTGGGGTGAGAGTGAGAGGAGGAAGAATGAGAGCAAGAGGAAGAGCTGGGCTGAGAGTGAGAGGAGGAGGAAGAATACTCTCTAATGAAATGAAAAGTTATCAACCATGGTGTGACGATGAGAGGCTGGACAAGGGTTCAGCCTAATCTAAGCCGATTTACTGTTGCCTCTGTAATCCGGACACTTAGACTTGAAAACAGGTTAGTTACCAGTTTTGAGCTCTGCATAATTCATGATATATCAGTGCTTATATCTGTTGTGTGAAACGTATTTACTTCATTACTGTCATTGAATTGTTGGCATGTTGCAGACTATAACTGTACAAAAATCCTGCACAATTTACTGTGGTAAATTTACTTTTATGCAACACAGACACTGACCAACAACAAAAGAGGTGCAGGTGGGAGGCTAAGGATTTTTAATGAGGCACAGGAAGCAGCAGTTACAAACTGGGTTTTGGCAAAC